TCTCTCTCTCTCTCTCTCTCTCTCTCTCTCTCTCTCCCTTTAAGCTGCCGCCACGCGTCTGCGGCCCGTATAACGACGGCCGGGGAAGCTGCGAAGCATTCTTCCCACGACAGCACGTATACGTGTATACGCAGCCGATATTAGAAAACAGGACAACTTCAATGGAATTCATTAAACCTAGTGCCGCCATAAAGGACAACACACATATACATATACGGACGGACCCATTCTACCTGCTGCACAAAGCCCATTAATGATATAGCGTGACTAATCGCGCAGTGAAATCCGCGCGCAGACACCTGCCCCACTAATAGACCGCACTCGGGGGGAAAAAACACGAGCCGGAGACAACGACGAAAGTTTGACGGCGGGAATCACGATATTGCTTGCGCGCGCGATCTCACGGGTGAATCTCCCGCAATGAGTATATATACGTATATACCAGCGTGGACTGAACAGGGGACGACTAGAACACCTCGTATACTGAATTCCGAAATGCGTGCATCACGTACGTAGGCTCGCCCAACGGCTGAATTACGGTATGTAGGCTCACGATTACATTTCATCGCGCGTGAACTGAACATACACGGTTAGTTCATTCGATTTGTCGATTATGAGGCGAAATTACTTCTTCAATCGTCTGGCGGCGTTATACATTACCAAGAGTAATTACATAACATCAGCAATTTGTCACCATCAACTCTTGGTATTATATACGCGCGCACGCGCACGCGCGCACGCACGCACGCACGCGCATACACATACACAGAAACCGCATGATGATCGCGTAGAGAATGCAAATGAGAATTTCATGGGAGAACGCCACTGACGTAACAACGTAATTAGACACACAGTTAATGACACACAGAATTTTGACACACGGCACCGCGCTACCTGACACACTATGTAGTATTATCATGAGTTTATCAATAATTATTGATTATGATAGACTCCTGGTATTATGCAACCTAATCCACGAGTCACGCGCACACACCCCCGGGCTGCAGCTACAGCTACAGCATCAACGAACAGTGAGCGATGATCGGGTGCCGATGCCGGCGTCGGCAGAGAATTCAGCATCCGACCGATTGCCGACGACAAACCAAACACAGTGCGAAGTCACCGAGGAGGCAGCGCCCCCCTGTGGAACAGCAAGGAAGCAGCGCCCCCCCGTGTCACACCGAGGAAGCAGCGCCCCCTGTGTCACACCGAGGAAGCAGCGCCCCCTGTGTCACACCGAGGAAGCAGCGCCCCCCTGTGTCACACCGAGGAAGCGGCGCCCTCTATGTTATAATTTCCAGCGCAACGCAACATGCTAGAACAGATACGCGCTAGAGTGCCCCCAAAATGATTTCACCGCATTCTCATGCATCATTGTGGACGCGTAGACTCGCTTGCAAGACGCGACAGACGACCGAGATTGCTAACACAGACCGTGCTTCATCAACGATTACTATAACAACGACGAATACTACGTGACCTGTTGGATCGCATCGTCTCGCGACCCGCGTCGCCACGGCGACAACGCCCGATTCGGACCGGCTTCGCGTTGCCGCGACGACGCGGCCGCGAGACGACGCGAGCGGCTCCAATAGGTGGCGCCTTCGATCGCTGTCAAAGACCCACGAGTGTATAAAAATAGTCGCGGGAGCCGGGGTGGACGGGAATGGCCGCCCGCTCGGCCGCGCGCGCGACGCGGTGTATCGGCCCCGTCCCCTCAACTCTCGTCAAACAAATTCTCAACGTCAACATCGTTATATCGAATAATAATTCTCTCAAACACAACATTCCGCGATGCGGCGACGCGTTCGCGTAACATTTTTTTTCGCAGCCACTGCCGGGCGCGCGCGGCGTGAAAACAAGAAAAGAGAAACCAACAATCGACGAATTAATTAATAACACAACCTTCGACAAATCAATTATTCGATATCTCGCCGAACTCGATATCTTAACGCACGACCGTGGTCTAATGAAATCCTAACTCCTCCCAAACGTAATATGTATATAACATGTGTGTATATATATATATATGTATGCACGCAGACATGAAAGCAACAGTTTCTCATGTTGTGACTAAAAGCACACTTGACACTGGTATCAAAGTAAACTGGAATGTGACGAAATTATTCACAGACTGTTAGTAATAATACCACAATGGCACATAAATGGATAATACACATACATTCAGCAATACTTTTTTTGGTCCATCGTACACACTACCACCAAGAGCATCATATGGAACAGCATAGTTCGGGCATCACACTATTCGAGGGGCAAAGACTGACATGTGCCGCAGAATCCAGCAATCAGTGACGCAATTTAAGTACGCTTAACACAAATTCGAATAACCGAGACACCGCCCGTCTCTCGAGACATCCGTCTCGCCCGCCGACCCCACTCTGTCTCCGCCACCGCGCCGTCCAAAACCAACCGAGAAAATCGAATCTTCGCAAAAAACGCCGAAGACAAAAAAACTCCCAACACAAAATGAAACTCGCGCGGGACGATGACGGGGGCGCCCCCTATCCTCCCCCACTTACACGTATTGCCTGTTCTCCTCCTACTCGCATCCCTCCAGGGGGAGCCACGCGGCGCACGCAAGGGACGATCGTAGCGGCGCCCCCTATCCACGCCCCATCTACACGTATCGCCTGCTCTCCTCCTCATCCTCCTCCTCCTCCTCCTCGCAGCCCCCAGGGGGAGCCACGCGGCGCACGCGAGGGACGACCGTGGCGACGACCCCTATCCGCGCCCCACCTACACATATCGCCTGCTCTCCTCCTCCTCCTCCCCGCACCACAGCTGCTCTTCGCAGCCCCCCAGGTGGAGCCTCCATCGGCGCGCGCCCCTCTCCACGCGTCGCCGCCCCGTGCTCTCTCCTCCTCCTGCTCCTCCTCCGCTGCCGCACCGTCAGAACAGGCGCTTCTCGTACGAGTGCATGCCGTGCACGCTGCCCTCCTTCTGCGCGGAGACGGTGCGCCGCTCGAAGCGCACCTCGCCCGCGTACGTCATGTCGCGCAGCGCGGCGAGGCCGCGCGCGCCGATGTCCTGGCAGCCGTGCTTGATGCCCGAGACGAGGTAGGGCAGGAAGCGGTGCACCGAGCCCTTGTCGACGATCGAGCCCGTCACGCCCTGCGCGACCTTCACCTTGTCGTGCTCGCTGAAGTAGCGCGTCAGCGACGCCGGACCCGCCTCCATCGCGTCGAGCGAGCCCATGCCGCGGTACTTCTTCAGGCGGACGCCGTCCGAGAAGAAGTACTCGCCCGGCGCCTCGCTCGTGCCGGCGAGCAGCGAACCCATCATGACGGTCGACGCGCCGAGGGCCAGCGCCTTCGTGATGTGCCCGACGGACGAGATGCCGCCGTCGGCGATGACGGGGACGCCGAACCGGCGCGCGTACTCGGCGACGCGGTACACGGCGGTGCCCTGCGGCCGCCCGACCGCCATCACCTCCTGCGTGATGCAGATCGAGCCGGAGCCCATGCCGACGCGCAGGCCGTCGGCGCCGGCGTCGATCAGGTTGCGCGCCTGCGCGACGGTGACGACGTTGCCGCCGATCACCTGCAGGTTGGGGTGCGCGCGCCGCACGTGCTGGATCATGTCGATCTGGTACGTCGAGTTCCCCTGCGACGAGTCGAGCACGACGACGTCGACGCCGGCGTCGCACAGCGCCGCGAGACGCCGCTTGTCGTCGTTGCGCGTGCTGATCGCCGCGCCGACGAGCAGCTGGTTCTGCGCGTCGGTCGAGCACAGCGGGTACGTGCGGTTCTTCTTCAGGTCGGTGCGCGCGATCAGCGACACGAGATTGTCGTCGTCGTCGATGATCGGCAGCTTGCCCTTCTTGCTGCGCTGGAGCAGGTCGTTGGCTTCGTCGAGCGACGCGCCGGCGTGCGCGACGACGAGATCGACGCGCGGCGTCATTATCTCCTCGACGGCCTTCTCCCGCTGCTCCTGCGTCACGAAGAAGTCGATGTCGCGAGACGTGATCATGCCGAGGAGGCGGCCGCCCATGCGGCCCGTGTCCGTGACGGGAATCCCGCTGTAGCCGTAGATCTTCTTGATCTCGTGCACGTCGCGCACGCGCAGCTTCGGCCCGACGACGACCGGGTTGCCGATGAAGCCCTGCTTGAACTTCTTCACCTTCGTCACCTCGCCGACCTGCACGTCGATCGGGCAGTTGCAGTGGATGATGCCGATGCCGCCCTGCAGCGCCATCGCGATCGCCATCTCCGCCTCCGTCACCGTGTCCATCGGCGACGAGACGAGCGGAGCGTTGAGCGTGATCGTCTTCGTGAGCGGCGACTTCAGCTCGACGACGTCCGAGCTGAAGTCGATGAAGCCGGGAAGGATGATGAAGTCGTTGTAGGTGAGGCCGTCGCCGTTCGAGAACAGCTGCGCCGCCGTCAGTCCGTCCTCGTATCCCGCCACCGTCGTCGCCATCGCCTGGTCCGCCATGTCGTTGTTTTCGTCAAAGGGTTTGTTGTTGTTGTTGTTGTTGTTGTTGTTGTCGTCGTCGTCGGTAGTGGAGACGTGCGGCGTTCGTTGTCGCGCAAGGAACAATGAGCCTTCTGTCGCAAGTGGTTTCCTAGAGTGTTCTCACCACACAATGTTCCCCCGAGTGTTCTCTCACGCAATGTTCCCCTCGAGTGTTCTCTCACGCGATGTTCCCTCGAGTGTTCTCTCACACAATGTTCCCT